TCCCGAGAAATTGTGAATGGGCGCACGTAACAATCAGCCTGAACTTTGTTTCAAGTTGATTCATCGCTTGTTCACCATCGTAAAATTGGGAACAAGCTCAAGAAAACGGGAAAATCTACCTTTATTGAGATCTGACGTTAATATTATCAACACCAAGAAACAGACAGATTCAATAGTTCGCACACTATGGTTCGTGAAGAACTGAACACCTCGACACACACCGCTGCCAGCACGATTGTCGGTGTTTCCCCTGCCAGTCTTAGTTGCCTCTTGTCTCTGCGACGCCGAGGTACTGGGAGCTAGACCTGTTCCAGATCTGTATTCTTCAGTCTTCTAGCGATTTCTTAAAATTACGTTCCAATGTTCATAGAGCGAGCGACTGACGCAGTGCTTGTGTTGTATCATAGCATAAATGCGTTGCCTGGGCAAACGTCCCGCATTTAAATGTCTCGGCCTAGGATGCAGCACAGCCTTGCAAGAAGTGCACTGCATGTTTCAGAAAATTTCATGGTGACACGACTAGTAGTCTTAGAGTTAAATTTGATTGCATTTTTCAAAATTGACAATGAAAACTGCCAACGGCACTGTCTTGCTTTTAAGTGGAGGTGCTCGGTGCTTTTATATCCGCCGCCCAATCGTATGCTCCATTTCGCCCCACGACATATTTTGTCTGCACTATGTTGCGCAACAAAAGAGAAAACAAGGGCTCCTAACTCGAAGACTTGAGTTTTTACCGCGAGGAGCTGAGTACTTCATTCAGAGACTCGAGTGTTTAATTAGAAAACTTGAAGGAGACCCACGGTCGACAGCCTGCCCCCAAAACAAAGTTGCGATAATCCTTCCGGGTGCAGTGGTGCAAGAGTGCATCAAGTGCCAGGTATTTTATTATTTGAAAACAGAACATCGCGCGCGTCAAAATGACAACATGGTGTTGCTGTATGGTTGCCTGATGACGTCCATCATGCTTATGATAGCATGTCTACGCATTTACGTTACCTTCAGGTATTTTAAGGCCCAATATTACATCACGCGTCTTTTTTTTAAATTGTTAGAAAAATGAGCCTGTGTTACTCTCGCACAATTGCTCAATATCGAATGACATAACGCAGCGTGGCTCAGTATATTTATAATGCGTTGGTTCTTTAGGTGAGTGGCTTTGGAGCACATCTAAACGCTTAGCTATGCCACCTGGTGTGGTGGCCGTGGGCGAATGCTGTGACCATCAGCTGATCCTGAGCTGTGATTCTGGAGGAGGAACACATATTGTGACGTCGCGCTTTGCCAACATAGCCCGTGCTGGCTTGATAACGTCGTTTAATCACTGCCTCGTGGCATTTTGAAGGTCAGTTATTGTCAGAATGAGAACTTCCAACGGATCGTTCTGCAGCTAAGTGAAGTTATAGCGCGTCGTTATCAATGCGGAGTACAAGTTGTTGGGTCGAGCTCACTGAACACGCGTGGTTTTCGGATCTAGAACGGGCAAAGGTTATTGTTCCAAAAATAGATCCTCATCAATCTCGTGCACCTGATATGTTGTTACTTTGTGCTTTGTCGCCGGCAGTGGATTAAACCGCCACCATAGTCGAAGTGCGAGTACGTGGCACCCACTTCTCAATGGGCCCGCGTTAAGGCGCTATTACAGCGTATACAGACACGTAACTTGTTAAATCAGTAAATCAGGTGATAAAGCTGTGACGTTCTACCTATCTGCTCAAACAAAAACTACTTTCGGCAGGCCAAATCCCTCCAGGCATGGACCCCAGTACCGTGCTTTAGAGAGCGTACAATCAGAGGTAGGCAGACCAACGGATACACGAAAGGGCTATCCGGGGCCAATCAGCTCTAGGTGCGGTGATCGGGAATCTGTAATTTCCGTAAGAGTGGAATCAAGCGCTAATTTGCCCAGAATCTGATGCGGATGTTCACAAGTGGCTGTCCGATGTTCATTGGAAGTCACTAGTCCCTGGCCAGGGAAGCAGGGAGAGCACATGCTTTCCCAGTGCTAGAGTCCCGTTTACCTGACACCTGCAGCCGATAGGGCTCATCACGCACCGGAGGGCCGCGGCAGCCATGGACCCCATCAGGTCGCGTGGGGGTGAACCGATCGATAGCCCCAGGGTGCGGGCGCACGCGTGAGACCGGGGGTCAGTGATCTACCTCGGTGAAGATCACACGTCTCCCGTGCGACCACAATGCTCAGGCAGGCCCGGCCACGGTTCATCGTGACCGTCTCACCCGCCTACGTTACCCGCACGCATTGTCCGCATGCGTCAGTCGCTTGCGTTACGCGATCGTTGCGGCCGCGGACGCGGGCGGCGTGCGCCGACGCCACTGCCACCTGACGGCTGCGAGCACAACCCTCGCGCGGCGGCGCCGCGGCATTGATCGTTCGTGTTCGGTGCGGCGGCGGCGGCGGCGGCGGCGGGCGCTGGCGGAGCGGTCTGGTACCGCTCACCTCACACCACGTGAGTACCCGAGGTGTCGGCGTCTCGTGGCCGCGTCGCCGCCGCACGGCGCCCTCTCGATCCGTGCAGCCGTGTGACGGCGCGCGGGCTGTGCGTGCCTGGCTGGGACGGCGTGGCTGAATTTCGCCGCGGCGCGTACACGGCAGCCTTTAAACGCGGCTGGTGCGTATTGATCGGTCGTGGCCCGAGGGATGGACCCGCGCGCGACCAACCGGCCGGCAACGTACCGGCAGCTGGTCTATCGACCGGCGGCGGCGGCGCCGCCGCGTCCGCGGCACGCGCCACAGTGAAATGAGAGAATGGTTAGATGATTTGGGTGGGTTAATTTGGGGAGTAAATGTTTGGTTCAAACTGCTTAGAAACACCAAAAAACTTTTAAGCAATGTTCTCCTCAAGGCGGGCGGGAAATAATTCGCATTCAGAACAGCGTTTTTTTTAATCAAAACTATGGAGCACCTGAAATATAACTTCTTTAGCGCGCTGCTCTCAGCTGTAACGTCGGGAACAAAATACTACCAGACTGAAGTACCGCCATGTGGTACTCGCCCCTCATCGGGTTTGTATTAATGCTAGAGACTTGCACAATCATTAGCGTGCAGCCAAAAATGCTGGGAGAAGGGAAACATGATATAAGTTAAGGGCATTCTTCTCAACTTTCTGCACATTCAACTGAAGGGCGATATTGTGGTAAGATAAATACATTTTCAACCTCATTTCATATTATGATACCGTCTTGGTTACAAAAGCAGTGGTCGTTGTACACAGTACTTTAACTTTTAAGGACGGCCCTTCACCGAGAAGGAGATTGCTTTGATATCAGATGAAATCTTTCAGATTTTCTTGGCACTGAAATTCGATCGCCAAGTCGTGATGCACAGACATCCACAGCGACATCCTTGCTATGACTTACCCTTTTTGGCTTCGGAGGCTGACAGCAATAAGTTCATGGCCTGCCTCTCTCACACATTTCATGAGCAATGATTGACACATATTGCCAGAGGAGAGACATCCTGATTGGCCGACGAACGCCATGCGTTGCATCAAATCAACCAATCAGCCGCCGCCGTACGCGCGGCGCTCATTTTAAGGCGGCGTATGGGACCGGCGCAGAAAACTGTTTCATCGGCCCTGCGGACATCGAACAAATGTCCATCGGCTCCATTGGCCTGAGGACAGATGGCGATCGGTTCTATTGCTTGTCTCAGTGGGGCTTCACAAACCGCCGATTAGTTATTTGGAGCAACGATGGCTGAAGGAGACGTTTGAACGGTTTTCCCGGGCAGCTGAATACGAATGCACGCGCTGCAGCATGAGCGCACAACGCCCAGACAGAGTGCTGAGACGGAGAACAGTGAAAGGTACCAGCGTGCCGTTTTCGCAGCACAAAAGAGAACGATCTTGCAAGGCTGTACATAGAACGTGAAATAGCGGTCAAATTCGTTCAGTCCTTCTAGGTAGGCCAGCAACAGGCCCCGACGTGCTTTGCTATCAGAAGCATACATCGTTGACAAAGGCCCACTGATGGTGGAAGACCCCCCCCCCCTACCCCACTCCTTCACCCAAAAAAGAAGAAGAGGAAATAACGGGATGTGGTTATGCGATGACTCAGTGAACTCTTTTTACACAAATAGTATAGAAAGGTTTTGCTAGAATTTTCTGGGTTTTACAAAGATATTGAGTGCTCCGTAAACGTATATTGTGGATGGAGAAGGGGTCAACGATTTGCATTATCGTGACCAGCCCGTGGTAATCTGGAAATGTTTAGCCTTCAATCAGAATAGATTTGCGAAAAACCATGCAGCATCGTTCTAAACATGCACGCTCGCCCGTCACGTTAGAAAAGACGCAGCATAGCGATGCAGTCTCCATAAGTCGTGTGGTATCAGCCCCGCGGATAGCATAAGGCGGTCAATGGGCGGCCGAAAATGTTGATGCATTTGACTATGAGCACCTTACTGCATTAGAGCATCGATTCGTACATCGAAAATGCATTTCGGCCGTATGTTTCACCTGTGTAATAATCATGTTGCTGTTTTAAACATATTCGTATTAGTCTGGTCTTTGAACGGTGCAAATTGATTTCGAAAGACTTTGGAAACACTTTTTCAAGACGGCCGTGCTCACGCGAGATGGGGGAGGGGGTCTGCCGAGCCCGACAGAGTGAAGCCCCTCCCCATTCCCCCTCCACGCTCGACCGATGACCCCGTCCTGTCTGACCGGCGGCGACACGTCCGTTCCAGGTGATGACGTCACCGGCGCCGCTCTCCTGCGCCGTCTGCTCAGTGAAGTTCGAGGACTTGGACACCCTACTGCAGCACATGGCGGGCCACACGGCGCCGGCACCGGTGCCGGCGCCGGTCGGCCAGGCAGCCAACACGCGCCAGATCGTGCTCAGCCAGACGGCGTTCCTGCGTCTGCAGCCGATCCTGCAGCAGAACGCCTCCAAGAGCATGGTGATGGTGATGCAGCAGCCAGCGGCACGGCGGCGGCGCGACGCGGCCGCGCCGCCGCCGCTGCGGCCGCGGCCGCCGGCCACTGATCCCGCCGACCTGGACGTGGAAGTGATCGAACCGCCCGAGCCGGAAGACCCAGCCGACAACGAGTGCCGCGTTTGCAAGCGCCGCTTCAAGCACAAGTACTCGCTGGTGGCGCACTGTCGCCAGCACCTGATGTCACGTCTCTGCGGCGTCTGCCACCGACGGTTGCCCGATGGCGAGGCGCTGGTGCTCCATCTCGAGACGCACATGGAGAAGAACTCGACGTTCAAGTGTGACCAGTGCGACAAGTCGTTCGTGCATGCCAAAAGCCTGTACGTGCACAAGCGTAACCACAGCGGCGTGCGACCATACACCTGTCAGTACTGCTTCAAGACGTTCCGCCACTGGCACAAGCACCGCGTGCACGTGCGCATACACACCGGCGAGCGGCCGTACCAGTGCGAGGTGTGTGGCTGGGGCTTTCCCCGCAACGACGAGCGCAAGCGCCACATGCGTACGCACGTGGGCCGAAAGGCGTTCCACTGCATCGACTGTGGCGTCGGTTGCGGCACACAGGTGGCGCTGATGCGGCACGTCGAGATTCACCACGGCAAGGGGAAGCGCGCGAGTGGCCCGGGACCAGCCGAGGCGTCGGAGGAGCCGGCCGACGCCGCCTCGCCGGCCGGCCGGTCAGACGAGGAGGCCGAGGGCGAGCCCGAGGACACGGCCGACGAGAACTTCGACGACCTCGACGAGCAGATCACCGTCAAGATCGAGATGGACGGCGCGGCGGGCGTCGCGGACGACGGCGACGAGGACAGCGACGACCCGCCGTACCAGCCGTGCAGCTCCGAGTCGGAGAGCGACGCCGACGCCGCGCCGGCGGTCGCGCGCGCGCTCCAGCCCGAGGTCGGCGTCGAGGTCAACGCTGAGCCGGCGCGTGACCCCATCGCCACCGACGAGCAGGTCCAGTCGAGGGCCGGCTCGAGCGCGGACGGCGCCGGCGTGGTCGTCAAGGAGGAGCCGCCGGACGCCGAGCAGATGGACGAGGGTCCGACGCGCGACCCGTGGGGCTCAGAGGACTCGGAGCTGGATGACGACAGGGCCCGTCTGCTGGAGCCAGAGGTCAACCTCACTGAGATGTTCATCGACATCGAGCGTATGCGCTCGACGATACGACGCAAGATCGCCGCCAACGCGCACAAATTCGACGACGCTGTCACGCTGAAGGCCAGGTCCTTCGTGAGGGACCCGGAGCCGAACATCGACCACATGCGGTCCATACTGCGCGCCAAGCTGGAGGAGGGCAAGCGCATCCAGCAGCTGCTCCGCCAGAACGAGGCGGACAAGCGGCGGCTGCAGGCGGACATCGAGCGCGGCCGAAAGCGGGTGAAGCTGGAGCCGACGGAGGCGGACGGCGGCGCCGAGTCGACACCGATCTTCGTATCGAAGACGGTGCCGAGCGTGCGTCTACGGCGTCTGTCGGAAACCAGCAGGACGGACGTGAGTCGACGTTGGATGTCGAGCCGGCTCTCGGCCGAGGGCGGCGAGCCGGGACGCACCAGCGACCCCAGCGCTACGCCGCGCACCCCGCGCCGCCGCTGGATCCAGCACCGACTCAACTTCGCGCCCGACGACGGCGCCATCGTGGCGCAGGAGACGCCGGCGGGCCTGCGCATGTCCACTGGCTTCGGCCAGCTGTAGAGCGCGCTCAGGGTCGCCGTGCCCGTGCTTTGGTGGTATCAGCTGCAAAACGCATTCTGGTTTACCCAGCTCTAGCCTACGCTGGGATTCGGCCTGCCGTTGAGTGCGATGAGGCGTCGGGCAGCTGCGGAGCGCACTGGGGTTTGGTCAACTGTGAGGCGCACTGAAGGCCTGTGAAGCTGTAGAACGCGCTAAATTTGATCAGATGTGAAAGCCTGGACGGTGGCGACCACCGCACACTTGCGGGCGAAGACGAGTGCACCGATAGTTACATGAAGAGCGATGACCAAACGCATGACCGAACGCACGGCTCGTCCTATTCACGATTGGTCCACTGACGAGGGAGCAGACGACCCTATGATGGACGAACGGCAGGGCTGGCAGGTCACAGACGACAGTCAGTCTGCCCGGTACGAAGGCAAATGAAGGCCTTCTTGAAAAAGGCCGGTCCAGTTCGTACTTGGCTGACGCTTGGAGACCAACGGAGGCAACCCGGTTATCGTTACAGAACGTCAAAATGGACTGGACTTGCGGCACTCAGTAAGCCCGCACAGACAGTGTTTGCTCTAGTCAAACAGCGCCGCCGCGGGCGGGTATTTCTTCGTGTGCACTGGTGCTGATACGAGAGTGAAGTGCCTGTTGCTATGGCGTGTCTAAAAATCCGACATTTAGTATTTTGGTAACTGGTATTTGGAGGACCTTAACCTGCTTAGACGGCTACCCCAGTATTAGAGAAGGTACCATTCAACGATTAGCCAGTCATTTTGACATTTCCCCCTTCGTGTAATTAGCTAAATGTGTGTGGTACGTCGCGGATCTATGCCTATTTATTTGGTATTTATGAGGATGATTGGGTATTTATTGAGTCGTATTCAAGTGAGTAGAATTCAGTATTTATTCCGTATAATAGAGATATGTCAAGTGCATGACAACTCCACTTGTGTCGGGTATTTCAGAGAACATATTTTTATTGCAGTTATGAAAGGTGTTAACACCTGCATTTATCGCCATTCATTCCACTGAACGAAACGTTCCATGAAGGTGCAACTCGACTAGTCATTTTGATATGTTGTTGCTAGCTCGTTGAGGCATATCATTTTTACTTAATTGTGCGTTGTCGTTTGTTCACTCGATTCCGTTGCTTTCATTGCCGTGCATTACAGTTACGTTTCTGTGATTTGTGAGCGTCTTACTCTGCTGATCATCCATGAGATACTTTACGGTGAAATAAAGACGTGTCCCGTTGAAAGCTTGCATCAGGTGACTTCAGCGAACCTCACTCCCAGCACATCACTGCAGGGATCGCGTCCGGTCGCTCGCCAGAATCGTCACGTTCAACGCCCGTAGTGTCGCGAAGCACGTGGGGCCAGAGAACGCTCGTGGCGTGTAGTCAAAAGCTTCTGGCTATCGTTCGTCTGTGTTGTGTGCCATCTGCGGCCATTTCCTTGATAGCGACAGTGGCGCTGCGTGGTGGTCAAAGGGTGAAACAACGTGCTCAGAAAATGATACCATGCATGATCAATCAAGGTTAGTTTGCTCAATCCCCGTTTGCGGAAACGTTAGACATCTTCCTTAGCGTTGTTTACCACGCAAAACCACACAATCAGAGAATCTGGGCTCGCCATTAAGCGTTTAAGGAAATGGGTAGTTAAAGACGCGGAAGGCGGGGCGGGGGCGGGGGCGGGGGGAGGGGGGGAGAGAGCAACGGGGCAGCTCGCTCCCCGACTTGAAAGCGGGGGGGGGGGGCGCTCCCTCCCTTCCTTCAACTTGGAGGGACTTTTGAAGGTCCTTTTTGGCACGTTATTAGCCGATTCTGAGCTGCGAATGGATTAAGCAAGCCTGAAAGTCCGTTCTGGTCTGACCCGTCGATGGTTCATTCTTGCCTATTTAGTCACCATTTTGCCCAGGAGACGGTACTTCCGAGTCTGCAGAGTGCCTATTCTGACCTAAAGATAGGCCACTATTTACTGGAGGGTCCATTCTGGCCTTTAGGGGGCCTTTTATTAGCACGTGCCCGTGTGGCCGGCTAGATACCCTTCACTCGGGTGGGGGTTCAATTTGACCCCCCCCCCCGCTGAGATCTCCGGAACTAAGCAAGCTAGAGACACCAAATTTACAGGGTGTTAACCTGTATGTAAACTTACTTAGAACAAATTTTGAGGCCCCCAGGTTATGATCTTCAGGTTAAATAAGGTCAAACAAGGTCAAATTCCAGGTTGGTCTCAAAAGTGCCCCAGAACCCAGTTAGCTGCTTCTAAGCAAAGGGTCACGAGCTCACTTAAGGTCACGTACCCTGTTTGGCCCCTTGAAGGCCATGGTGACCAAAAACATACAAGACTGCTCTTAGTTTTGCATTCGAATAAGCAACAAGGATTACGCCAGGCAGTATGTTCCTAAAAAACGAAATGTCGATCTGGGTCATCTGAAGTCAATGATCTATTTTGACCTCTAGCAAGTCAGTGAAAGATGTATAATGCGGTTCCTGCTATCAATAAATTCGAAACGAGCACCAGAAACAATCCAATACGGCAAGCCCTAAAGAAATACAACAGGTTGGTTTTGACCTGGACCTGACATTCATACCTGACCTTCGGTCGACGTTATTTGCCCATTCAATATTTGTGTTGTATAAGAAAGCATTTCAGAGATGTATGGCTTCGTCAAACACTCAGTTGTTGCATCAGATTGAACAATTCCCTAGAATTGCCTTCGCTGAAACTGTGGCCTGAGTTTGACCTGCTATAGGTCAGAGACTTTACAATGTGCATCTAGTCCGGAAACCATTTCGGGAAACCTTCGGGGGGTCCATTTTACCCCCCCCCCCCTCCCGAGCGCGTATTAACTGTGGAGGGTCAACATTGGCCCATACAAGGCCCATTCTGGCCCGTATAAGGCCCATTCTGGCCCGCGGAAGAGCTATTACTGACTACAGAGGGTCCATCTGGCATGTGTGGGGACTCATTCAGGCTTGTAGAGGGCTCATTACTGAATGTGGAGTGACCATTCTAGCCTGTAGATGAGCCATTACTGGCCGTGGAGGGCCCATACTGACCTGTAGAGACCCCAGTCTGACCAGCAGAGGGTCCATTATTGGCTTGAGATGAAGGACATTTCGTCCCAACCCGTGGTCCCCAGCAGCTGCCATTCTGGCGATTACGGGGCAATGACCTCCTGGTGGATTTCGAAGGCTGTCAGAGGGACGCATCGCACACCGTTCCCCTTCTTGATGTGACAGGCTCCCCGGCCGGGACATCTGGAAACGCAGCGTCCCTCACGCGTTCAAAAAGATTAAAGGATCGACACGGGGAGTCCAATAATTGACACCAAGACACCAGTTCGACTTGTTGGCCTATAGTTCGAACGGTGCGGAGGGCCGTTTGTTCGGTACAGGGGCCTCCGACAGACACAGGGACTTTCCATTGTCCCACTGTGGATGTAAGTCCCCGCATCGTCATCTCGCAGGTCTTCTTTCATACTGTCGAGAGGACGCGACCAGTGCGAGAGGCCCTTTGACATTCGGGGTCCCCTCTCTCTGTCCGCATTTAGCAAATGTGTTTCTGGCTGACCTGGGGCTCGTTGCCAACACAGGGTGCACTGTTAGACACTGTGATCCCTGACTGGCATAGGAGATCCTTGGTTGTTTCAGGGGCCCCGAGCAGTGTAAGAGGCCTTCTAATTGACATTGGCAGGCCCCGACCTTACCTTTGCTTGGGCAAGGGGCCATCCGGGGCGCAGACCAGCACAGAGCAGACCGCATTCGGCATTGGTGGTGTCAGTCAGCTAACTGATGAAGAGGCCCTCTCTGCCCTAAGGGGCCTCTGATCTTTGCAAGAGGTACTCTGACACATATGGGGGTCCGGCCTTCCAGGTTGGACTTCAGGCATCGGGCATCAGTTGACTTGCCATTGACAGTTGGCTTGCCATTTGGACCCTCCGATCGGGTCCTTGATCGTCAGCTCCAGTGGGCCCAAAGGGCCCCTCGGGACCTGAGGACCTAAGGACCTCAGGGAGGGGGATGTGGCACGCTCCCCAGCACCACGTGCGCCCTTCATGGCCGTGCCTTTGGAACTTGGTTCTTCGTGAAATTGTTATTTTGGAGTCATTTGTGATGCACTCGGCATTTTTCTTCATTGTGAAATGAAGGCATTGGAACCATTTATAGCGCCAACTGGAATGAGGTGCCTCTGGAAGCTGAATGCTATGACAAACCGAAATAATAAAAAAATTGGTCCCCTTTCGCCGGACAGGCCTATCAAGAATGTCGTCAGAGGGAAAGGCACATAAATTGTGGTGCTCCTGGACTTTTGCGTCCCTTGAAAATGATGATCCTGGGCCCTGTAAATCGCCCGCCTAGATTTTATGCCCCTTGAAAGTAGAGGTTATCGATGCCCCACACTAAAGGTTTTGGTTTGGTGCCCGCTCGTCCAATGATAGAATCTTCGGTCTCATTAGGGTGGGAGATTAGACATTTGTTATGCCCCGCAACTTAACGACCGTTAAGAATGAATGTTTGGAGCCTTTTGTGCTGTCCCTGGAAAATCAGGTTGTGATGGGGCTCCGGAGTGAAGGTTTTAGTGCCCCTTCACCACACATTCTGGTGCCTTCTTGAGGCACCAAAGCCTCATAGGGCCCAACAGGGGCATGACCACATGCCCTTTCCCCCCCCCCCCCCCCCTCCCGCGTCCATTCCTGGTCACAATCCACTCAAAGGTTTGGGATGTTAAACTGAATAACTCAGAGTACGTTGTTGACCCAGAACGCTCATGACTAACTTTGTTCCTGTCCTACACAGCAGAAGTGTGGTTTCCTTCTCAGCCAACTTTTCAGGCTCTAGAATTTCCAACTTTGACGGAGACGTAGCCATTTTTCGGCTTACTCTGTAGACAAAGTGGGGCCAGGGGATAAATTTTATATCTAAAACTATTGGCCGCAGTGGAGTAAAGTATTTAATATTTAGTAGCGTCATTTTTCAAGCCCAATGCGCATGCGTACTTTTCTGAGTCGGCGGCCGCCATTGCCAGCGTGTTGGCGGTGTGAGCTGGGTTCCCGCGCCAGTAGTTGTGTGCTGCGTTCGTTGTCCACAAGTCCAGACATCGTACTGTGTTTGGACAAGTAAAAGCGTGAAAATGGCGGACGTTGAGCAGGCTGATGGAGATGAGGCGTCATCGCCTGGACAGCAGGACATCCCCGCCAAGAATGAACAGAGGGAAGAACCGCCTGAGTCGGAGCCTCATAATGGTGGTCCCGGCCATCACATGGATCAAATGGATGATGGGCCTGGTCCTGACTTTAACGGACCTATGCGAGGAGGGTTTTGGGGTCGAGGACCGCCGTAAGTGTTGGACTTATGTGCGCTCTGGAGAGTTGATGTTTGCCTGTACTGCTACCTGGCTTCCAGTCCACAAACCATGACAAACACCAGTGAGATGTTAAAGGTAGACAAGATCATGCCTAAAATGTGGCAGTTAGCTGCCCCATGTGGGACAGGTTTTGCTAACCTTGACTACCCTTTCTTTTCCTTCAGGTGCAGTTAATGAATTATCAGTTAAGTCCCTGTATTATCATACCGGATGAATATGTCACAACATTTAATGATATTCTTGGTGCTCCATTTCATTAATTTGTTCCACAAAATTTTGATGTGCCACCCCAAACTAGAAATTGTGCCCCACCTCTGCTCCAACAAGACCTTGTTGGCAGATGCCATGGGGTGCAAACTGTCCTGACTGTTGCAGCCTAGGCAGCACAAAATACATGCTAAGCTGACCATGTTAGGTTTAGTGTAGTGGTAAAATGTTGCCAAAAATTATGGTCCCTGTGTACTCAAAATGTGGCTGCCATAAGTTTAGTGTAGTCCCAACAATTTCAGTGCATGGAGAGCCAGTGTTGAGTTGAAATGTAGCAGTTGTTCTGATATGAAGTACTCCCAAATATGTCAATTGCTGATTGAAGTTAAACAAGCTCAAAATCAGTGTAATTTAACATCAGAGTATGGCTTACATATATGCCAGATACAGAGCAACATCTTCAAATGGCCATGTGGGAGAATGGAATAATTTTTGCCAGACCATGGTGTATGTAGCCTTTTCCAGTGTGTGCTCTCAAGATTTGTGGCTCAGACTGCAGTCCAGGGTAGTGAACTCAACCTGAAATGATATATGTAAATCAGGAAAAGTGAAGAATATCAATTGTTAAGGCAACATTACAGGAGAGAAAATCATACTTTGGAGCAGGGTACAGGGCCATGTGCCCCCCACTTCCCTAGTGGTTTCATAAAAATGCATATTTATATCTTGATATTTAAGCTGGAAAAAGAGAAGTCTCAATTAACCTGAGGTCACATGGCAAAGGGTTGAGGAGTGTTGTTGATGAGGGTGGCATCAACATGATAGGATGACTCATGCACTTTTATTTCCAGGCTTAATTTAACATATATGATGTTCAGTCTTAGAGACTTGATTAGTTATGATCATGTTTAAAGAATTACCTTCTATAGTTCAACCATTTGCACATGCACTATTGATTACAGTTGGATTACTGTTACTTGTGGATAGATAATTCAGCATCCTTCAAGATAAGCAGCATCCTCACAGGAGTTTACCATCAGAAATATTTCAAACATACTCTGGTGAAGTGTTGGGACCAGTCATCTAATTGTTACACAAAGGCAAGTAAACAGTTTAGACAGGAGGAGTTGGAGTAGACACCAGCAAATTATCAAAATGATGAACTGACTTAATTGTGTTTAAGTCCAAGGTATTCAGCCCAGCTAGTTGCTTGCCTTCAAATTTCCATCGCTCTATGTTGGGACAGCTAGTGCAAACCGCATGTCAAAGGGATGCAGATAGCATAGCAGTTAACATATCTGTGTGCACCTCTGCACATCTGGTAGACCAGAGGTACCAGGCTTGATGTCCTGCAGTGCCAGCCCTTCCTGCAAGGGGGAGAGGGAGGCAACATGATAAAACAGTAGTCTAGTGTGTCTTAAAGCCCTAATGATGATGGCTGCATGGCAAAGGCCAGTAGTTACCTAAGGTCAATCTTGCTGAAGATTTAGATTAGCTTGACAGAACTTAAATGGTGTCATCTCAGACTGTGGCTGAGAGGAGTCACACTGCTGTGGATTGCAAGATAAAAGAATCCCTTGTTCACTTGTAAATGATTATCTTCTGCTTCATTTTGAGTCCATATTTTGCACTCAGGCCATCACAATAGGCACACAGGCTTGTCCGTCTGTTACCTCTTTTATGCATTAATGCCACATAATGAATGTTTCTCCTTTAAACTTAAGATCATATAGCAGGCTTTCAGATGGTAACAGCATTAGTTTTGGATGATGTGCTACCCAAGAAGACATCATATTTGTTGATTTTTACATTTAATTGTTCCAAAAGGACCTGGCCTACCAAACCATTAAGTTACCTATAGAGAGAGGTGCAACTACCTCATTTGAATTGTTTGCTGTCTGCTTGCTAGGAACTTTCTCTGAAATCCTTAGAAGTTATACACAATGTTGGTCTTAAGGGGGCTCAAAATGGGGCAAACATTGTAAATGCTGCCTGTTGCACTCCACCATTCAAAGATCCATTGGTGGACAATGCATTGTAGCAAAGGTAGCAGTGGTGCACCACTCCTCATACAACTTCTCACAATGTGACATTGCCATTGAAGGACCTGCACTCCAGCAAGATTGCCACACGAGCATTCCCCAGTACTGTTCGCCCATGCAGTTGTCCTATCTGCGAATGGTCGGCAGCACGCCGGCGGCGCGTCACGAGCCCTGACGTGGTCCGTGTCATGTTCGCAGCCGGCCGGGTGGTCCGCCGGGTGGTCCGCCAGGTGGTCCGCCGGGCCCGTGGCGCGGTCCGCCGCCGCCCCGCTTCCGCGGCCGGCCCGGTCCGCCCGGCCCGCCCTGGTCGCCGCGCGGCCCGTGGCGCGGCCCGCCGCCGCCGCCCTTCTTCCGCGGCCCGCGGCCGCCCTTCCGCGGTCCGCCGCCGTTCGACCCGAACTGGGGACCGCATCCGGGCATGATGGGCGGGCCGATGGTGAGTGGCCGACGCCGGGCGACGCGGCGCGCCGGATAGCCGTGGGGGCTGCACGGAATGCAGCGTGGCACGAGTGGCTGCGTTTGATTTGCGTGTTGCTTGGGCTCTTCGGTTTGTTGGCTGCTCTCAAAGAACCTGTGACATGTGCAACCTGCCCTAGCGCGTCAAAAGACATGTTCCCAATAGCGTACTGATCTTTGGTATGTTGGAACCATCCCAGCTACGTCCATCGCACCGGTCATTGTTAATCAGCTGTGTAATCTCTGTGTGCTGCGCATCGGGTGATCGCGAGCGTGTCTGACGACGGCCGGCCGTCTCGGCAGGGTCCGTACCCGCCTCCGCCGGGTATGGGCATGGGTCCGCCGCCGGGCTGGGGCGGTCCGATGGGCCCGCCCGGCGGTCCGCCGCCCTTCCAGGGGCCGCCGCCGCAGCACGCGCCGCCGCCCCAGTTCGGTGGCATGAACCTGGCCAACGTGTGGGTCGAGACCAAAAACGACGACGGCAAGCCCTACTACTACAACGCTCAGTCGCGAGAGACTACCTGGACCAAGCCGGAGGGCGACGGCGTGCGCATCCTCACGCAGCAAGAGGTGGGTGGTGGAGGCCCGGCCAGCGGGTGGTGGTGCCGCCCCCTTACGCCCTCCTGCGACGCTGTGTACCATGTCCTGGGTGGTGTCGGAGGGTTTCATGGTGGGCCGCCTGGTGCACCGAGCCTTGAGCTGACTCGTTTTTCTGGCGTTGTGGCGTGCCCAAAACTGCCATGACCATAGGCATTGGAGCTCCGCGCTGCGATTATGAGGTCTGCAACACGTCCGGTGATAGGCTAGAACCCACGCCCCAGCGGAGCCGGGAAACCTGGCGCTGTACCGTCCTCACCCCCGGGCCTCTGGTGCCTGCTGGGCGGGTCGGGCGCCAGCCTGTCGGTGGGCGAGGTGTGAGCGACACGCTTTCCGTCAGGTGGAGCAGATGACTCAGTCGGTGGGAGGGCAGGCGGGCGGCGCCGCGGCCGCCGCCGGACAGCACAACAGGGTCAAGTCGGAGAGCGATGCCGAGGGTGACAACAGCCAGGACTCGGACAACAAAGGTAGGAGCGACCCGGCTGGCCTCGGTGGATTGGGTAGGGTGTTTGGTGGTTGGTTTCATGACAAATTGACGGACGAGACGTCGGGTTTACACTCTCACTGCTGGGAGATTTACAACATTTGCTAGGTTCTATAATCCGGAAAACCCCAGCATTTAAGCTCGACTGGAAACGGTGTCCCGGGCGTGGCATTTTTTTTTTTAGGCTGTGTGGTGAGATGTCCTTTGGTGTGCATAAGCGCCGCGTCAAGAGATTGATACTCGCCACGCTGACCAGTGGCGAGCCGCTGACTTACACCGCCGGTCACCTTACGAGCCGTGGCGCCTGCCGGGGCGCGTGCGGCCCGGGCGCCGGTCGGTCTGACGCTGACCATGCCGTGTCTGGCCCGCGCTGCAGCGGACTCATCGGCCGCCGCCGCGGAGGGCGCGGCCGGCGGCGGCGCGCCGCCCGTGGTGCCCGGCGGCCCGCCGCCCTTCGGCAGCGCGCCGCCTGGCCCCTTCAACATGCCGCCGCCCTCGTGGATGGGCGGCCCGTGGGGCGGCGGCGGCGGCCCGCCGGGGCCCGGCGGCTGGGCGCCCGGCACCGGTCCGCCGCCCACCAGCACCCAGATGCCACCGCCCACACAGCCCGTCATTCAGGGCGCACCATCAGTCGACAACAAGGAGGTGAGAACCGCAGGGGCGTCGGCGCCGCGCGCGCAATGAGGCGGTCAGTCACTGGGGGAGGATGGGGGGGGGGGGGGGGGGCTTTGGACAGACAGGAGGTGTGCATGTGCTAAACACTTGGGCTTCTGCTAATCGAGTAACTGTGGGTTTCTGTATCATTGGAATGTACGTGAATGTTTTCGAGTTGCTCTTCCCACGCCATTTTCGGTTGTCATCTGCTGCACAGTCAGTGGCTTGCTTGTGCGCTCCAGATCAGTGATAAAGTGGTATCCCAAGGGCCTATGTTGGTCGGGAAGCCCCACCCCAGGACCGCGATGTCGCGCTCCTGTGGACTGTGGTGACTACTTGGCCTGACGCGGCTGTGGTAGACCTCGGAGCGCTTGTCTCGGTATACCAAGGCGTGACTCCCCTTTGACAGGCCGTTGTGTTTCACGAGCTCCGTCGCACGTAGCCCTAGCATCACTGCAGTGTGGCCGTCGGCCTCAGCCCGGGGGCGCCATCCACATGTGTTCCCAACCCGTGCCCAGCCGTGTAGACCGTGCTTCAGGGGCGGGGCATTGCGCCGGCCCCGTGCCCCGCCCTTGTGGCCGGTGAGCCAGCCGGGCGGCCGCCTGACCCGCCCGCCTGACCCGCCCGCCAGCTGGACCCGGAGCTGGTGGCCAGGGCTGCCGAGTGGACCGAGCACACGGCGCCCGACGGACGCAAGTACTACTACAACGCCAAGTCGCAACAGTCGGTCTGGGTGAAGCCGCAGCCCATTGCCGATCTCGAAGGTGGGTCGCCGCGTCCGGCCGCCCGGTACCCGGAGGAGCCCGGCTCGGCACCCCCCGGCAGCGGGTACCATGTACCGCCAGGGCTGGAGTGGGCCGCGAGTCCGGTGGCGCGGGGATCTTAGTGCCTCCGTCACTGCCATCGATGTGTAGGGTTAAGCCGCTCGTTTTTATTGACGGGTCGCGCGGATTGTGTCGGTTTGATAGCGAGGCTGGGCCAAAAGCTGTGGTGGTGTCAAAGACGGAAGTGAGGTTTACCGTGTTCACATGTGACATGTTAACCTTCGGCAATACCTCTGCTGGATCTACGTTGGGTCTCCACGTATGCGATTAACATCACAATACAACCGCGTAAGATAACACCATCTTTACCGCAGATGTCTGTTGTGTGTTTCTCGCCCGGAGCGACCCCGATCTCATGTAATTCGCCGTCATGGATGCGTCCCTCGTGCCTGAACTCTGATGACCCGGTGCGGCAGCGGCGCGGCTGGCGGCGCAGCAGCAGGTGGCCGCGGCGGCCGCCGCCGCCGTGGCCGCCGGCGACGTCAAGGCCGAGCCGCTTGAGGTGAAGCCGCAGCTGCAGGCGCAGTCGCAGCCGCCGCCGGCGGCCGCCACCGACGACCGCGAGTCGGCCGACGACGGCATGGACGTGGACGACGACGAGGACTCGCGCTCGGCCTCCGAGACCAAGGAGGAGCCGGCGCCGGCCAAACAGGAGGACAAGAGCCGGCCGGTCAGCTCCACGCCCGTGCCCGGCTCGCCCTGGTGAGTGGCCGGCCGCGCGTGCTGAGGACCGCCGCCGCCAGGGGGCTGGTCTGTCACCGAAGCAGGAGGGTCGGGTAGCGTGTAGCGCCGAGGAACTGGCTAACGTGGCGCGGAGGATTGTTGTTCCAAGTGGTTAGAATGTGGTTTTGCAAAAATTGCACCGTTTTGCAAACGGTCGTCAGTCTTATGTTTTACGTTTTCTTCCATAGTCTTGCGCGCGTTTTTACGTGCCGAAAGGCTTTTATGCCTGGAATAAGATGATTAGAAGTAGACTCAGGGGTGAGCTGTGACAACATTTGACAACGCTTTGGAAATGATGCATCATAAGTCTGACTGTCGGGGTCCATGCCATGTCAGCGTGACATACTGGTCGTTGCAGTCATTCCCGTAGAGTTGGCATCACGCCCTGTCCGCCCTTTGTCCCCGAGGGCGCCCGTTGCTCTGTCTCGTCGAGTGGTATCTCCCCGGGGCTGACGCCGCCCTCTGCGGGCCAGGTGCGTGGTATGGACGGGCGACGGGCGCGTGTTCTTCTACAACCCGTCGTCGCGTACCTCCGTCTGGGAGCGGCCCGAGGAGCTGGCTGGCCGCGCCGACGTCGACAAGATGCTGCTGCCGCCCAAGCAGGAGCCGGCCGAGGCCAAGGAGGAGACCGGCGAGCCGCCCAGCAAGAAGGCCAAGCCCGACGAGCCGAAGAAGGGTGCGTGCGTGAGCTGGGCCGCCTGCAGCAACCGCGCCGGGTGCCGATGGGTCGTGAAGTAAACGTGCAGTTGGCGGATGGTGCGTTTTCTAGAGCGGATGTCTTAAGGACTTCGATTTGACCTCGAGCTTGTCGGGATGTTGCCCGTTTTTGTGGGCACTGGTGCGCGGCGTGCCCAGCTGATGATTATCTCCGACAGACGGGTCCCAGGCGGAGGTGCCGTTGTGCTGGTCAGTCGCCCCGCGCGTTGCTGTGTTGGTCGCGCGCCGCACCCTGACCTCAGCGCTGAACGCGGGCCGTTGCAGAGGTGAAGGAGGAGCCGCCGAAGAAGATCGACGTGGGCAAGGAGGCGGCCATCGAGGCGGAGGTGCGCGCCGCCAGGGAGCGCGCCATCGTGCCGCTCGAGATCCGCATGAAGCAGTTCCGGGACATGCTGGCGGAGAAGGAGGTAGGCTGGCGCGGCGCCCGGTCCTGGCGGCGTGGAGTCTCCGCGAGCGCTCGCCGTCTCTCCGGTGTGAGGCTGGTCGTCCGGCGGACGGCGGCCGTGGTCTGGTGTGCGGGTGTCGCAGAAGGGTGGATGGGTTTAGCGCCGGGCTTGCTAGCGGCGGCCTGGAGCCCCCAGATTGGATCAAGGGTATCAAAGAGTGTCGTCCGCCATGAGTCGGCCAGTCTTCCTCAGGGAGTTTGTGGTGTTGTGCGGGAAGCCGGAGCCTGCGTCCGCACCCGCTCCGGTCTGGCTGCTCCTCCCCCTCCCCCTCCCCCTCCCCCTCCCCCTCGACCCGCACCGCTAACCCCGCCATGTGACCGCCGGGCAGGTGTCGGCGTTCAGCACGTGGGAGAAGGAGCTGCACAAGATCGTGTTCGACCCGCGCTACCTGCTGCTTACGTCGCGCGAGCGTAAGCAGGTGTTCGACAAATACGTCAAGGAGCGCGCCGAGGAGGAGCGGCGCGAGAAGCGCAACAAGATGCGCCAGAGCAAGGAGGAGTTCAAGAAGCTGCTGCAGGAGTCGGACCTCAGCGGGAAGTCAGTACACCTGACGGCCGTGGCAGGCGCGCCGCCACCGCCCCGCGGCCGAGCGCTGCCGCATGCCGGCCTCCCCGGCGGGATGTTGAGTTAGCAGATGGGTGTAAAGTGAACTCCAATGCGTGTTATGCTTCTAACCTGCTCCTGCTGCGGACGCGAAATGGCCGCTGCAGTCGTGCGCCCTGAAACGACAGTGCTCACCATCATCTTGCTGTTTTTGACGTTGCGTTGGGGCTGCCGGCTGCTGCCGCGCGCGGGCCCGGCTGGCCGCGCCGTGTGTCCAGTGATGGCGACCGTCGTGGGACCGGTCCTCCCGCGGCCGCCGACTGACCGCCGGCCGTGCCCGACAGGACGTCGTTCAGCGAGTTTGCCCAAAAGTACGGTAAGGAGGAGCGTTTCCGCGGTGTGGAGAAGATGCGCGAGAGGGAGAGCCTCTTCAATGAGCACCTGCTGGAGATTCGCCGCAAGGAGAAGGAGGAGCGCGCCGCCAAACGCGAACAGGTACGCTTGCCGACCGCCTGACGCACACGCTCCGTAACGTAACGGCGCGTCACGTAACGTAACGTAACGTAACGGACCGTCGGTCCGCGGAGGCTGCTGGTGACGCGAGTTTGGCTAAAGTGCTGACAGTAAGTCTTGAACAGCTGCTTGATGCATGTGCGAAACGCCATGTGCAGTGTGCTGGGAGGCGTGACCCGGAACCGAACGTCACATGTCCGGTGAATCGCCGCACGTTGTCTCGCAGTGATGCAAACCGTGCACTGTATGTACTGTGTATGCCTGCACGATGCGGTTGACCGTTGACCAACAAGCCATGCCCCGCTTGTAAAAGGGAGATTAAGCTACCCACTTGACCCTTAGCCACATGAAACATGCCCGTGGGTTGTGTGGCATAGCGGGTTGACGCTGAAGTTATATTTGACGTAAAAGTTGATATGAGGCATTCTTTCCAAAGTTAGGACATATTTTTGTGACACCTGAATGTGCAATTACTTTGCCAAAAGTCATGAACGACGATTTATGTTTACTAGTGTTGTATGTACGCATGGTGTTTGAACGCGCCGCTATTTCGTTGCCATGGATCACTTTGTTCCCTTTTCAGGATATGATCATTGTTTGCCACCTGCCATTGCTCGATGTGAACATGATAATAATTAGCGTCAATGGTTTCGACCATTTTTTTCATTGACGGACAATAATCGAGACAATTTTAAACCCACTTAAACCATACGTAGCCTTGCTATCCCTAAACAACAGCTGAGCGCGTGATCTGCAGTGTCGTGCCTATCGCGACATCGCATCATCGTGACGTGTCCGCGGCGGACGGCCTTGTCATGCCGCGTCGATGTTCGTAGTCGTGACCACCTCCTTTCCAGACCACCTTTCAGGGCCACGTCGCTTTGTATCACTGCTCGTGCGTATTTTGTCTCACGCTGCCACACCGGTCTCGCCCGTGTGTGCTCACCTCGCCAAAAGTCGCGCGTGCATCAGTCGTATCTGAGCGGCGCGGAGCGCTGGCCGGCGGGTGCCGCCTGTCCGGCTCGGTGGCCCACATGTTCAGCTGTTTGCAGTACGGCGGCGTCGGCTGGCCCAGCAGCAGACGGCGCCGCCCCCTGCCGGCCGGCTGAGCGGCGTCGCTGACCTGTCCACGCGCGTGCTGTTACACTGTCCGCGCCGACAGACACACGGGCGTAACGTAACGTAACGCGCACGCCCGGCCGCGTGTCGCTAGGTGATGCTCTTTTTCTTTCTCTTTGTGTTTGTCTATGTGTGTTGTATGTGTGTTGGTGGACGGCGGCCGGCTCCCCGGAACCGCGCGGCTGCGGCGGATGGTGCCGATTCAGGAGGGACGGGGGCGTGCGTACGGGCGGGAGCCGCTGCCCGGACAGGGGAGCCGGCCGCCGGCCGCGGCCCAGGGCACCACGCCCCGCTGGTCCGCGGCGCGCCACGCCCACACTGGAATGGGGCGGTAGCTCACACGCAGTTCGGGAACGTCGGCTAGCCTGGGCAGTCCAATCACCGTCTAGCTAGCCTGTGACTGCTGAAATATACGTTTTGTTGGCTCATCAGGCAGGAGAATTTAATTAAGCAGTCCATTGCACTTAACATAATTACTAACTACAGCTTGTTTGAGCAATATCCCTTTTGCCCGGGAGGCTCATGGATCTCAGTTCATTGATCTCGGCCGTCAACGCCGACGCCTCACGTGGAAATAGCATTGCCGTTGACCTAATCTCGTGCTGAAATTGAAACGTGGGCATCTGACCAGCAGACTGCGTAACGCTGTGGCCGCACGTCGCCAGGGCAGAGACACTGTGTGTGGCGGCCGCGCGCGCGCCGCGTGTTGCCCGCGTGTCGGTTCGGAGCGCCCGTCCGACCAAGGTGACCGCACCCCCGGGCACCGCAGCTGGCCCGCTGGGGCTAGGTGCCAGCCGTCGGGCCGGAGCGCCGCGGTCCCGTGTCGCCCTCCACCCCAGCTCTCCTCCCAGTGGCGCTGTATTGGAAGGCGCCTGCTTTGGTCGTCAGTCGCAGTGGGGGCGAGGTTGTGTGGGTTTGTGTGTGTGGGGGGGGGGGGGGGGGGTCGGGTACACTCGCGACATCGCGGCATGAGGTTGATAGAAAAGCCAGAAGTGTAAAGGTTAAGTGGAAACGGTCGCATACTAAGCATCCGGCAGCGATGCCTTTCTGGCGATCGCGTGCTTAGCGTGCCACCATGTTGCATGTGTTGCAGAGTGTTAGCGAGGGTCGATCGTTTCCTTACTTGATCACTGCTGCGGCACTCTTATAAGTGTGCGTGTGTTTAGGAGGGAAGGGGGGGGAGGGGCGTCTGATGCGGGTGTGGGGCAGCGGGGAGGGAGGCAGCTCCCGCCCGACGGCCGGCATCCAGCCCCACTCGCCACGACGACCCACTAAAGCTGCCGTGATCGGTACATGCAGTGAGTTCACTGGCTGCAGCGTGCTGTTGATTTATGTCTGAAACATTACAATTGCAGTGGGTGTTGACGGCCAGCAATGGTTTCGGCCCTCTGCCCTGCCGCAAAGTGACGTCGAATTGCCTTGTGTGCCCAATAAAATGCATAGAGCGGCTAAGGTGTGTGGTAGTGCCTACAGTTCTTGTTATTTTTCTTTTCAACGTTAGTAATGCAAATGACCAAGTAAGTTTGCACATCGTGCTGCACGCAGACAGCCAATTGAGACGTTTGAAGCTTTTCTCTGTCAGTCTTCTTGCATCTATACGACGCAGTAACATTGCATTAGACGACCTTGTGCTATGACCGGGGCGTATGCCCGGATTCGGCCGTGTTGACCTCCCCTTCACAGCTCTGCTTTAACTGGTGTCCTCTCGCCAGGCGCGCGGCGGCGGCGGCAACACCTCCTTCCTCACCCCTGGCCGCGCCGGACCGGCCGTCGGCTGATAGCTCTGACCCGCCCACGTCCACAGCCGCTGGCGGTCGGGTTTGCGGGACGTGTGTGTGTATGTGTGTGTGTGTGCTGCGGGTCTGTGCGTCCGGTGACCGGCCGCTCCGCTCCCAGGTGAAGAAGGACTTCTTCACTATGCTGCGCGAAGACAAACTGGTGAACCACCACGCGCACTGGTCGGACGTCAAGAAGCGGCTGGACTCGGACGCGCGCTACCGGGCCGTCGAGTCGAGCGGCCAGCGCGAGGACTGGTTCCGCGACCACGTGCACGACCTGAAAGAGGAGCGGCGCCGCGAGAAGCGGCGCGAGAAGGAGAAGAAACGCAAGCGTGCCAGCCGCAGCCGCAGCAAGGAGCGACGCAGCAAGAGCGGCGACGGCCATCGCGAGAACGGCGAGCGCAACAGCCAGGAGCCGGCCGACGCGGCCGAGAGGGCGCCGCGCGAGGACGGCGAGAAGACGGACGAGGTGAGCGCGCCGACCGCTGACCGGTGGCAGGTCGCCGCCGAGCGGGGCTGCGGAATCTGGGTGTACACAGATTTTCTGCTGGTTGACGCGAAAATAAAGTCAAAGCCCATGCGGGCTTGTTCCTGTAACAAATCTCTTCTCACCGTGTCTGTTACGTTTTTCGTGTCTGACTAAATTATCAGAAACAATGTGGCACAGCGTTTACAGGTGGGAGGCAGATCAACAATATTCTTGAGGCCCCCACCCCCTCCCCCATTTCACCTATGCTCACCGTTCTTGCAATTAGTGACAACCGGTGACTTCTTATAGAAGAGTTATAATATAGTCCACGCCATTCTTTCCGCCGTCAATCCGTGACCTGGTATTTCTATGGGCGAGGCCTGGCAGCGGCAAATCGTGGTGACGCGTTTTTTTCTTACCGAGTCTGTTGTAGGCTGCTGCCGTTTCACGGTTGACGCGTGGATTCTGGACGTGCGGTGTATTCGCACGAACTCATCAGAACCGCGATGCCGTGGCGAGCCCGAGCAAAGCGAGACGCGTCTGAACATCGGATGGAACTGCGGGTGACCTGGCGAGGGGAGCCTGCCGGAAATTGGCCATTCTAGCGAGAAAATTGCTGATTCTAGCGAGAAGGTCATGACGACATGCGCCACCATGCCCAACCCATACTGCAGCGCATTGACCGGCGCGCGGTGTGGTGGCACACCGCGGAGCGCTTGACGACCGCCGACCGCCGGCAGGACTCTGATGAGGAGGAGGAGCGGAAGAAGAAGGAGACGGAGGAGCGGGAGAAGCGCGAGCGGGTGGAGGCGTCGCTGCGGGAGCGCGAGAAGGAGGTGCAGCGTACGCTGGCCGAACACCTGCGCGACCGTGACAAGGTGGGCGCCGGCGGCCGATCCGCGGCGAGAGGCCGGCGCAGCGCCCGCCTTCGTCAACGTCCACGGACGCCCTCTGTCAGCTCTGATGTCTCGCGTGCACATCATGCGAGCGTCTGCTCGCGGCTGCCTTGCTGGTCACCGCCCGTGCCTGTGTGTGGAGTGGGGCATGGATACCGTGGGGTGTGGTTGTCGCCGTCTCCCTCATCGCCCCTCCGGCGCGCTCCTGGGCGTCCTGACTCCACTGATGCGGCGGCATGTGGCGGCACCTCAGCCGCTGTGGGCGCAATATGACCTCCTCAGTCTGCACGCTCCAAAACCCCCATCAGCAGTAACCCCCGCCGCTGGCGCGCTGCTCAGCGACGGGTGGGCCGACCCCGCGCACGTGCCCCACGCCGTTCCCGACCTGCGTCACGCCTCCCCACGCGCGGCGCGTGGGGCGCCTGGCCTGACTAGACCGCGGCTGGCGGCGATTGTGACGCGGCCACCCGTGCGCCGGCAGGAGCGGGAGCAGCACAAACACGCGGAGGCCGTGCAGCATATGCTGGCAGTGCTGGCGGACCTGGTGCGCACCACCGACATCACGTGGCGCGAGGCGAAGCGACTGCTCAAGAAGGACCACCGCTGGCAGCTGATGGACAGCCTCGAGAAGGACGAGAAGGAGAAGCTGTTCGAGCAGCACATCGAACAGCTGTCCAAGAAGAAGAAGGAGAAGTTCAGGTAGGTGGGCCTGCCTGCACAGGACTTCCGCGGCTCGGGCAAATCAAGACTGGCAACTTTTCGGTGCGTTTTAGTGGCGCCTTGCGTGTTTTCATTATCTGGCGATGATCTGTGCTTTGTTTTTAACTTGTCCGTTGCTGGTGTGATTTTTATATCATGTTTAATATAACTTTCGCGCTTCGGGCAGGTGTCGAAAGTTAGCCCAACGTTTGGGTCTCGTGGGCTTTCAGTTCTGTGTAAAAATGTGACTTTATGTTACAGAGAACTTCTGGACGAATTGAACGTGGAGCTCGCATCGTCCTGGAAGGATGTTAAGAAGCAGATGAAAGACGACCCTCGATATTCGAAGTTCTCTTCCAGTGACAGAGTACGTAACGTTTTCCCTTCGTACCGTTGGCCGCGCCAACACAGCTATACTGCGAGTCCTTTCCTAAGCTCTGAGCTGTTCTACTAGCTTGAATTGGCCCGGTAAAAGTGTGGTGGCGAGCGATAGTGTAATGGGATGGTGCATTGACGCTGAAACGGAGGCATTTGCCCTGCCGCGCACCTTGCTTCCCCGAGTCGCGGTTCCAAACGTAACAACGCAGCGAGTTTTTGCATTCTCGCCAGTCTCCACGCTTTGTCTCCTGCGTTTCTGGTTCGGGCAGCAGTGGTCCTTATTGATCATATGACCGATTGTTTTGGTGGTTAAGGGCGCGTAAGCTGCTTAGGTCATGGGCGCCATATGACCAACGTAGTCGGTGCGCCCCAAAGCCCAAATCATCATCATCGTCGAGCTGCTGAAGTCATGCGATTGTAGGATAGACAAGTTGCATATCCCCGCTGCAATCTGAATTACAGAGCGTTACCTCAGCCGTCGCGTGTCACCCCGCTGCTGCGAAATCTGTGAAAGCGTGAGCCCTCACTGTGGCCCCGTCCGGCAGAAATGCGAGCGCGAGTACCGCGAATACCTCAAGGACAAAATGGTCGTGGCCAAGAGCGACTTCCGCGAGCTGCTCAAGGAGACCAAGATCATCACGCACGAGTCGCTCAAGAAGATCACCGACAATGACCAGCACATGAAGGACATCCTGGAGGTGTTGCGCAAGGACAAGCGCTATCTGCAGTTGGACCAGATCGCCGAGGAGCGCGAGCAGATGATCGTGGCCTACCTGGAGGACCTGGACAAGCGCGGCCCGCCGCCGCCGCCCACCGCCAGCGAGCCGTCGCGCCGCCTCGTCAAGTAGGCGCAGCTGGCTGCCGGGCGGGCGGGACGTCCGGTCGGCGCTGTTGCGGCGGCGATCGGCCCGTGTGGAATCGTGCAGGGCTCGCGGCCACGACCTGTGCGGTGTACTTTGGGCGGCGCCGCTCGCCAGGCGGGAGTGCCGCTGCGGCGGCCGGACTTGCTCGGCGCCAGTCCTTTCGTTTGCTGGGCGCCGACCCCGTGGAAACTAGTGCGATTCCTTTGTACACATATCGTTGTGTTGATTGTCGGCCGGCTCGTTTTACGTTGCCACTCGCGGTCTTCTCCAAATCGATTGGTGACGTCCGCTGGGAATGAATGTCCTTTACAGGAAACGAATACATTGGAGACAACGTGCACCAGTCTGTGATTAACTCGTGCTAGCTCTCTAGCGACGTGTCCGCGTGTGGCGCCCGCCGATCTCGTGACGCCACCAGATGGCTCCGCTGACCACGGTCGGGCACCGGTCACTTGCGAGTGGAGGGCGGGGTAGTGGGACGGCGTGGCAGAGGCGGCCAGAAGCGTCCGCAATGACCCAGCCGCGTAGACACGTGCGTGGCCACAGCCGCGTGAACCCGGAGGCGCGCCGGCATGGCTTCGCGCTGGCCAGCCTGGGGCCGGCCCGACCTCGGGCTGGTCAGTAGTGCGGCGTCGGGCAGCACAGCCGCGGCCCGTGCTGGCAGCGGCAGCCGGGCGGCGCAGCGTGGCGACGGTGGCCAGCAGTGCGGTGTCGGGCAGCACAGCCGCGGCCCGTGCTGGCAGCGGCAGCCGGGCGGCGCAGCGTGGCGACGGTGGCCAGCAGTGCGGTGTCGGGCAGCACAGCCGCGCCCCGCGCTGGCAGCGGCAGCCGGGCGGCTGCGCCCCAGACCCGTGCGGCGCGGCGCGGCGACGGCTCGGGTCTCACCGGTTGCGGAACTGCCCGGCTCTTGGACGGCAGTTCCAACGGTGCCGTAATCCCGGCGGCGCGGCGGCATCTGGCTGGCTCGTCACCGAAAACGGGCGGCGAGAGCTGGGTAGGGGCCACAGTGGTCGGGCTGAAAACGCGGGCTGAAAACTGGGCTCCACCTTGGGTCGGGCCCAGTCGGAAACACTGCCTGCTAGGGCTTAGTCAAGCGCGTTTCCCCCAGTGCATCCCATCGTTCAGTTCGTTGGTCAAATTTGTGGCGCCGACCACGGCTTCGGCGCCCTGTCTGAAGACGCAGCGTCCTTCCATAACTATGCTGCATTCCCTTCGCGGGCAGCAACGTAGTTCGTGTGATTTAAAGGATTTTTGGTCCCAAATATGCTGACAATTCGCGGGATGCTACCGTTCACACACAGCACGCGAGCGAAGGCGTTATCCTGTACTTAAGATGCACCAACTGTCCAGGCTTAAGGTAAATCTGCGGTAAGTGCAAAAAGTGTCGAAAATATTAGAAAAATGCCAGTGCCGCTGTAAACTTGTTGCACGCGTTCTTTGACATGTACCCGTAGATGCAATTTTGCACCGTATCAGGTACACTTTTCACAGCGGTACACCTGAGAGAGTACAGAAAAGCTTCTGGCGCACGACATCCATGGTGAAGACCGTTGACCTTACCTCAGTGATGACATGGATTTCTTACCTCAGTGATGACATGGATTTCTTAACGTCGTTCTATAGCTCGAGATCCTTACTTTACTTGGGCTCCACCTCGTTCACGATGGTGCTTCCTTTTCAAATAAAAAGTATCTCGGAAAAGGAGCAGCGCCTCTTGCTGTACGGTGGCCTGAAGACATCCAACTTACCTAGCGGTACGATGAATCCGTTCCTGAATCGTGTTTGGGCCCTATCGTTCAAAGCGCCCTGTCGTGTCGTAGCTCTCAACCACCGCAAGTCCTGGGCTTCCTCTCATTCATAAGGGTCTTCTGCAGCACGAGCGTTCCCGACCATACTAATCCCTTCATAAGCTGGGGGACTCCTCTCGCTTATATCATGCAGTTGATAATGGCCTAACCTGACCACATGCTGACCATGTGCAGTAGACCCAAAGCGGCCTTCGAGGGTCCGCTGAAACTTCAAGGCGGGCAAAAAATGTTTGCCCTCCCTGGTAAGCCCGACGCGGTGGTGCCGCCCCCGCCTGGTGGTGCCGTATCGCGCCCCTCCTCCTGGCCATACCCACCACACAACCACTATTTGTGACTATTGACTGCCATGAGGCGTGCAAGTACACACACTGCGCCAGCAAGTGAGTTTGGGCGCATCCATCGAACCAAACATAAATAGGAAGCAAACTTTGCTAGCCTTCGCGTGGAGCCGGGGTCAGCTCAAGGATGGACTGCATTGTCTGCCAACGTGGAGTCGGTTCACTGAAAGGGAATCTTACACATTCGAAGACGTTTAGGCAAGAATCATATATGGTGGAATGAGCTGACATAACTATTGGTATACTTTGAAGTACAAAAGGTCGCTGTAGGCGGCACAGATTCTCTGTTTAGTAAATATGCACCTCAAGGCGTCATTGCTTGATTATGTCATCGCACCTTGCTCAGCAGTGATTGAGAGCCGATTAACGGTCGCTGTATCTGGAAGTCGTGCCCACGAACGTCAGATATGAACGTCTCGACAATTATGCTATTATTGGCGTTGAACGACGCATGTCCGACGAAATGACAGAATCTTAATGACACTATCATATGAGTGTCTGGGTGACATTGAAATAGTCAACCCAAAAAGTCTTTGCGGGTGTGTAGCTTAGAAACTGGAAGTGCTTAGGTCTTAAGCAGGGCAGGGCTGTGGACTGCGTCGAATAATCTCCAAGATGGTTATTTCAGCTTAAACCCCTTACAAATGTGGAACACCACCCTTAACTTGCTAGTCAGGGTCAGAGTTGAGTCAGCCGCATAGGCTGGAATCGCCGATCAGCCAACTCAAACCTACTTGCAGATCCCGCCAAGCAGTATTGTTCTGTAAGATGACAGCTGTGCAGTGAATGGCGCGTTTGACGTTTTGACGTCTCGTATGAAATGTTCAATGCGACCCTTTTACGACGGATGGAGCGGCTTACACCCTGAACCGTTTGAGCGGATTCAACTCCGCCGGGATGGATTTCGGAGTTTGCTCACATCTGAAATCGGCATGGGAGTCGATTCCAGATTCAGCTGTGCTGCCCGCAGCCTGAGTCAGAGTCGGTGTAATGCACTAGAGTCCGAGTCCCTGGACCAATTCCGCCAGAGTGCAACCAAACATATAAACCTGAAAGGAAATATGATGAAACTGTTTTACAACTCCGTGCGCAGGAAAGCGACCCCCATCCGTGATCAGGCGAGCCTCAAGCCTGACTCTTTTGTATGGGAGGCTGCGTGGTTCGGCCAGGTACACGGCAGCCAGCGCTGCCGACGCCGCAGGAACATGCCTCAGCACCACGTCGATCCCGGGAGGCGGCCTCCCTCGGACGACCACGCACGAGCCAGATGGGATGTGGCTCTAAAAGCCGAATCATCACAGCGAGCCGAAACACTGACGGCCTTTGCCCCGAGGGAACCCTGAAAACCTTCGCTAAACAGAAACACTATTCATCATTTCAGAAACACAGAAACACCATTCATATCTGGGCGAGTGGAATATGTCGGGATGGGTGGGGGGGGGGGGGGGGGGGGCAACGCAGAGTTGCCGGTCGATGCCAGTGGAAGGCCGACCAGACCGCCAAGTGTCGGCGACGAAGCAGCACCGGCCGTCAGCTGTGAAATTTCTCATTACCAGGCGTCAGGGGAGGGCGCAGAGTGGATGTCTCGCGACGTAGCGTGCCGCGGCGCGCTGGCCGACCGGCTTCCGGTGCCCTGCTGGGCCCGCGGCACGCACCGCCAGTCCCTCCCCCCCCCCCCCCCCCCGGCGGCGCCGATTGCCGGCCTCGGGGGCGACGGAGGCGCTTGTCGAACCGTGGGCAGTGTCGACGTGTTTGTGGCCGCGGTTTGGGGCGGCAATGTCCGCGGAAGTGAGACAGATGGCAAGTGATACTGCCGGGGGCTGCTCTATTGCTGCCGTGTGGGACCCATCTGCGGGACGAGGCAAGTTCGGGGCATCTGTCAGGGCACGCCACAGGCGTTTCCAACTTAGAGGAACGATGCAGGACCGTCACGTTCGGTAACAGTAAACCAACAATGAAGAGTCTTTTTTTTAAAAAAGTGTTGTTGTTCCGATGGCGCAACAACGCAGTCAGACATTTACCTTGCTCATCATGCTCCAGCGTGCTCCACCATAAAATATTTATGTATGCTTTCCTCCATCTCCCATGCCAATGGGAAAGATAAAACGCCAGAGCTCATGGTATGGCATGCCCTCAGAGGCTATAAGCCCATCTAAGGCCCCCTCCCGCGCCCGTATTTTCGTCCTACGACCCCTTATTGCTACTTTACACATTTTAAGCACGCAGGCGACCGTGCCTGCTTTCCGCTGCATCCACTCTTGTCGGGACACTTTGCGTCCGCGAAAACTGGGTCCATGAATACTGTGCATGTGTGTGTATGCCCATACCGATAGAATGAAAACACTACCACAGATAATCGCCTGGTTTCAAAGAATTTCTTGCCTACATGTCAGCGTGAGAAGGTGAGAAAGCGTGTGGCCACGGATCAGCGTGAACCACTTTCTGCCCACCAGTCTGCAGTGGGCGAGGCATTCAGCGCATACAGGGCCCATAGCAAGGGAGTATTATTTGTGGTCGCTAAAAACATGTTCCCGCAGAACTTACACACATGTTAGGAAAATACCTAATATATGCCTCAAAAATGTAAACTAGACGGTGGGAGAAATCTGCATAGATGTCAAATAATTGATCCGTCAAATAATCGAACACTGCTCGTGGCTTACCGTATCACACGCAACGCTATGAAGAAGCTTTCTCCGGCCTCATGATGCAGTTGGTTAGAGCGTATGCCTTCTGGTTAACCCACCCGTGGCGGGTAAGTTTGAGTCCATTTAGACGCTCGCTATCTGCCCGGACTGGAATGATCTGCAGCCAAGGCCAGTTTGCGGTCGCGCTAAATATCGGGTGACGTCAGAGGCCAGGACGGACCGTGTCGAGCGCTGCGGCACGCCAAGCCCTCGCCGCAAAACCCTGCTATTAACACGGAATTTACGATCGGATGGTGTGTTAGGGGCTCGCGTAACAGACATTGCTTAGCACGGGCGCTGATCAAAGAAATCAATCCAATCGAAAGGTTTGGACCAAATCTTTAACAAGAAAAGCAAACAAACAGCCCAGCGTTAACATAGCGCGGTCAATGTTTCTTGGGCTAATCCAGAAATCCTACACATATTTTCCAATTGGATGTAAGCGACAGGTAAACCGAGGTTTGAGCTACGTTCGCCATGTGAATACGTGCAAGACGAGCCGCAG